ACTCTAAAGGTCAGCAGCTCCGCACTGCAGGAGCTTATTTGCAGGATTCCAGCAGAGAAACTTGAATATGATTCTGTGATTCTATAATACAGTTGTTGTCCTGGAAGGCTGGATTTTAAAACAAACAAACAAACAAGCTAAAACAGACACAAAAAATCTAAAGACAAACATCAACCCCTAAACAAACTTACTGAGAAAAACAACACTGACTCCACTGCCAACAGGGATCTTTGATGATGGATGTTCTAAGAACAACGTGCTTGTGTTTGGAGGTCCATCTGTATGTCGAGAGAGCACATTTAAATGGTTAAAGATTCAAATTTGATTCAGACTAAGAGTACTTCGATTTTGTTGACAAGATTGGTTTAAAACCTTTAGTTCTAGCAAGAGGAAGGTCATATCCACAAGCATATCCACAAGTCATATCCACTGTAAAACTGTATGTTTAACAAAATTCTTGGAAGCCTAGGTGTGCCAAGTAGTATATGAAGATTAATTCTAATGGTTGTCAAATATCTTTTACTTAACAACACAATGGATCCATGTAGCTGAATCAGGTTCTTGAAGGACACACATAAGGAAAAAACAGTGTTACAATCATTCATTCATATGCAAGTCTTCAGAGGTCATAGTGACAGCTTGGTCATGGCATTCCTGTCTCTGTTCTTCAAATACAAATTCAATATGCATCTCACCCGAACAAAGCATGTGTCTCTTACAAGGTGAGTGGGTTTATGTGTGATCATGCAGCTTTGACTCTTAGGCACTTTAGGATCTTTCAGGGACACTGCTTACCTCAGGAAGTATAGAACTGCAACCTTTGTTCTAAATAAATGATCAACTATCTTGATTTGCACATACGAGAAGAACACACATAGAAATGTAGTAAAAGGCTAGAGAGTAATAAAATCAGGACAGGCTATGAATATAAATAAGCATATTAGAAGTGAACTAATGAAGCCTGGTTTCCTTCAGGTTTGAGCTTCATGTTTGATTAAAAAGGTGCAAGAGAGAATCGAAGCTTTTGTTTTTGAGCTTTTACAAGGTCTTTGTGTGGACTGTTTGCTACCCAGTGAAATGGGTTTCTGTAGCATCTCTGTGTTGCACAGCTGCATGATTTCATAGCACTTGTGGGAACAATTCGTCTTTATAAAATGTAATTGAAATTAGCAAATGGTTTGGAAGGGAATGGCAGGAACAAATATATGTGTGTACACTCACACACATAGCCATGTTCTGAACACAGCTGGATAAACTCTATACTCCATATGGAATCATAAGGCCAATGGAGAGAATAGACCATGCAGGGAAATAGGGTTTGAGTTAATTGTAGAATCATTTAGGTTGGGAAAGACTTCTATGAACATTGAGTCCAAATGTAAACCCAGCACTGCCAAGGCCACCACTAAACTGTGTCACTAAACAGTAGAAAGATTTGTTGGTTGTATTTCAGAAATTATAAACTGTCAATATTTTTTCTGGGCTATTACAGTTTTTACAGAGAAAATTATATTATTATTATCCCAGTAGTAACATACGGATCTCTAGCAGAGCTCTTAAAATAATGTAGGCTTCAAAATTAATAGGTGCTCATGACTATTGGTAGTCTGAATGATTTGAAGAGAAAACATAATGCCCAGAATTTAAGACATATTAAAATGAAGCAGCTCTTAGTAAAGTTCAGCCCTGTAACTGGAAGATTTTATACGAAGCAGATTGAAACCTGCAGGATGTATGACTTTGGAGAAGAGGTATTTTCCCCTCTAGTCTGGGTGCGGCAGCTACAGGGTTTCATGGATGTGCTTCCACCTTTATGTGGTATCACCAACTTATCAGCTCGCTGCCACCACCATTTTTATGATCTCTAAATCCAATATGCGCCTGTTCCCAAACCCACTGCAATGAAGAACAAAGCACAGTATTCTGCTGTGTTGTCTGTTGTGAGGAAAACAATGTCCCAGTTTGCACTCTAATTAAATAATTAGAGTCAATCTTACAAGGCAGAAGGAAGGTAGGTTGTGCGAAGGGCCTGCAAGTGTTGGTTCTGCAATTTAAATGGTGAGCCTGAGTAAGAGAAACGCCCTGTCTCCTTTTCCTCCAGTGAGTTACTGAGTTCTTATACTTTGAAATAGTATAAACTCAGCACAGTTTCTGTTGGTATATGGTAGGTCAGGGTTTAAATAAAGACCTATAACTCAATTTAATAATGAAAAATACTATGTTACTTATTAATGTGTTACAGTTTAAAGACACTATTTGTAATGCCTAGTAGTAGTAGTTTTATATATCTGTAAATGTGTGTCTTGCAATGTAAAGGTGGACCTTGTTTAATTTTCTGCTATGTTACAACTGCTACAACTCTCTTATAATTTCCATTTCTAATATAGTCATTAAGGTGCTTTTTTGGAATCATTATGATCACCCTACATTTTAATTTTCAATAGTGTTAAATCATGTCTTTGGAAACAGTAGTAGAAACCTTCTGAAAAACAAAAATCATACTTAACTTTTTAAAAATATGTGAAGTTGTTTTCATAGAATTAGTTTGCTATCACCAGAATCTCGAAGTGTATGTGGGGTTTTTGCAGTGTGCTTAAAAATATCTCCTCATATCCATGCAGCTGTCATTATTTTATGTTTGGCAATTGGGGATATAAAAGTCAAAATTAGAGTAATATGAACTATATAGAGTTATATAGAGTCTGCCATAGGAGCAGGATACAGAGACTTCTAAAATACTTGCTGAGAACTAATTAGAACAGGTGCTGCTTGTATGATTGCTTTGCATCAGTCCTCTGCATTTGGAGAGGGAAAGGTAGTACATGTTTAGATTAAGGCTGAGAGAAATTCCTTTCTGCCCTGAGCTGTTTCTGTTTAAGAACAGTAGGCGTGGATATCTGCAAATGCTGTATTGTTTACAACCAAACAGTAGATCAATATAATTATAAACACAAAACACTGAAGTTATGTTTTCTGCTGGTGGATTGTGCAGCTGAGGAAAAGTATAAGCATAGGAAGCTATGAAGTCCATTATTCCAGAAGACAGCAAACAGTATTTTTTCATTAGACTTGCCACATTTACATTCTTATTGTCATAGTCAGTTAAAATAAAACTGAAATCCACAATACCATTTTAGATGAATGGTTCATTTTGAAGTTGCATGGAAATTAGGATGATGCTTTTTTTCATAAGTATGGGTGACGACATTGAGATACAAGTTCAGTGATCAGTGCCCATGATCAAAGCTGAACAAACTGCTTCACTTCAGCCTTCTGTTCATCTTTTGTTTCCTATACAGCGATTAATAAACATTGTGGAGCCTGCTTTTATGGCTATGCAAAGTATTAGTCTTTTTCTGATTCTCAGGATAAAATCCATTCTTTCTTCTATGGCCCACATATTTGGTATTATAGACGGAGGAAAAGAGCACATCTTTTGTCTGTTTGGGAAACCACACCTGAGTGAGGAGCTGGAGCAAGCAAATGTCCAAGCAAATAGTCGATGTGTTTTCATGATTACTAAAGCAACTCTTTGCTGATCTTGCAAAGACATCCATAGGATTGATTATTATTGTTAAGTGTGGGATTTATCTACGTAAATGTCACTGTATATAGCTGAGATCAGGTTCAGCTGCCATTAAGCTAAAGGGAAACCTATGTGGTGGTAGTTGATGGAATATCCTAAAAAGCCTGTATTCATACTTTAAGTGCACCGAATCCTCACTTGCCCCACACAGACCCCGTCCCATTTTTTTTTCTCACACATAATTGGAATTACAGACTCTAGCACTTTTATAAAGTCACTGTCCAGTCTCTTCTCTAAAAATAGACAATATATTCTATTAGAAAAAGAGAGAGAGGAGCTAGGCTTGAATTAGAGGTCACAGATGTAGAGTTCATTTGATATTTGGCAGTTGACTTCGATATGATTGGCAAGGAGATTTCCAAAAGGCTGCAACTCTGCACTGGAAATAAATGCAAAAGACTTGTCAGTGGGAAACAGCATTGAATCTATAATGCATGTCCTGAGACAGATTTACTCATAAAAGAGGATGTGTTTAATGTGTCATAAAAATATTTAAGCCCCATTGGTCTTTGTATAAATATTTCATTTTTAAACTTGGATTCTGGAGTGGCCTAAAGTGAATTCAGCATGTGTATTGTTGCCATCGCTATGAAGGATTAAAAAGAAAGGATCACCAGAAATTGGGGGATTTTTGCCCCTTCCACACAAATATTCTTGCAAGGCTATGTTGCTTTTGTGTCCAAATCAATTGTTTTTAGTCCTTGCTATATCATCTGTTTTGGTATATAGTATTCCTCTGAGGGAAGCCTCGGAGGGAGGCAGTTTGGAGGCAGAGTGACTTGCTGCCAAGAAGGCATTCATGTATGAGTGTGTGAATGTGGGTGGGTGACTGAGATGTCCAAAAAAGGTACTTGTCTGTGTTCCTCCAACTGCTTCTGTTCCAAAGATGATGTATGTCTGTAAATGAAGCAGGATATATTTTGAATGTGCCCATGTTTTGCATCATTATTTGTATCACTGTTGGGAAACTAAACTGCAAGAATCTGAACATCTGCTACCACCTGGCAGCTCAAGTGGTTCGAGGAAGGAGGGACAACAGTTAGAAAAGACAACCTGTATTTTCTTGAACTAAATAAGATCTTCTTAATTTAGCTCAAAACTAATTTAGCTCAACATTGGTGTTAGTACCAAATCTAGGGAATAGTCTCTGGGTCTTTAAAAGAGCATTTAGTAATGACAGAGGGAGAGCGAAGTACGTGACCAGAACTGCGCTTGCTGTATCACACTGTAAAGGTCATGCCTATTGGCCCTTTTGGATGTATGGTAACTGTGTATGTAACTGATGGCCAAGTCTGTATTTCCTCCATCTATAACAGCATGTGAAATTCAACTTTACTGCTAACTTCTCCAGTGTGGCACCAGTGCATAAGACTTAGATCTCCTTGGTTATGATGTTTTGTACTGTTCCTCACAGGTGAAATCTGTGCTTTTAAAATCCATGGACAAGAAATGCCCTTCGAAGCTGTTGTACTAAACAAGACATCTGGAGAAGGTCGTCTTCGAGCAAAAAGTCCTGTTGATTGTGAACTGCAGAAGGAATACACATTCATCATCCAGGCCTATGACTGTGGATCAGGACCAGGTGGAAGAAACTGGAAGAAATCTCACAAGTGGGTGAAAATTAGAAGGAATATTTTTTTGCCTTGGCATGCATTTGCTGTCCAGTACAGATCATATTGAAGGGCTCCTTTTTACACTGTAGCCAGGTAGAAAGCAATTAAAACCAAATCACTGTTGTTGCAATAGTCAATCCACTTTTTATTTCTTTTTCCTTTTAGAAGATACTTTTTCTTTTTGCCTCCTGCAGTTTGACTCATTCTGCAGTGGTTCCAGTTGAAGCTCTTAATGGCTCCAGTTGAAGCTCTTAATAGGATTCCTGTTCAAGTAAAGAAATGGATCTCAGTTTTAGTTTAGCTTTCTATTCTTGCTTTCATGTTAAATACATTGACTTAACAGATCATCCAAGGCATGGAAGCTAGCTTTTATTGATACTTTACAAATTCTAAATAGGTTTTCTCTCTCTTCGTTCCATTTCAAATGGAAAGAGAAGAGAAATGACCTTTCTTACTTTCTTATATCGTGTGTGTATATACACTGCAGTGGTGTTGTCTTTGCACAGTGTGTTTCTGATCTCAGCTTTTGGACAGCAAGTCTCAGAGGAATTAAAATCCTCTTGAAGAAACAGGTATTGAAGGTTAGTAGATGGTACTTTTTGCTGTGGAGAAGATTCCCTGAATAAGCTTAAATGGCACAGTCCCTTTTTTCCCCTTAAATTAATGAAACTAACTCAAGACCATATGTCATTAAAGATAAATGTAACTCACATGTAGATGTTTAATTGCTGTACAAATGTTCGTTTTGCTGAGAGCCATTTAAATCAATGATTAATAGTAATCATTCTTCCTTTTGCTCATCCAGGACACAACGCAATTAAAAATTTAATTAGCTCTATAATGCATGCTGAACTTTTCCAGGGTGTTTAAAAAGAATGAGTATTTAGAAGGAAGCCTGCAAGATCAAATAACCATCAAGTCACAGAAGCATGTTTTGCACCATATTACTAAATTTTGTAACGGTTTTCTCTCCCATATCCGTAACAAGCTTGGATGTTCCACTTCTGGAAAAATTTGGTCTAATCATGAGAAAATGAAATCTGGCCTGTCAGGACCACACTTTTTTATGCTTTTGATAGTGGTTTCTGTGGCAAACCATACGCTAAGCCAGGCTGTCTGGGGTCCCAACCTTTAGTACTGGCTCTGCCATTGATCTAGAAAGTCCCTCCACTTCTCTGTCCCTCTGTTACCTTGTCTGTCAAATCTTACAGCAAATTTTTTCAAATCAAGGCTTTTAGACTTTGCTTATTAAACACTCAAGGCCTCTTATTTTTGACCTTGCAGGTTTACATGTACAGTGTTTTAACTAAAGGATTATATAATTGCAATCAGCAGGTGGCAGCCTTACTTAATGTGGAAGAATCATAGAATCATAGAATAGTTAGGGTTGGAAGGGACCTTAAGATCATCTAGTTCCAACCCCCCTGCCATGGGCAGGGACACCTCATGCTAAATCATATCACCCAAGGCCTCGTCCAACCTGGTCTTGAACACTGCCAGGGATGGAGCATTCACAGCCTCCCTGGGCAACCCATTCCAGTGCCCCAGTTCATAAACTGACAATTTTTAGGTAGTGAATATGTAAGACTGCTGAAATTCTCTTCCTCTTTTTTTGCTTATTAACCATTTAACACTGGAATTATATTACTAAATTTCTGCTGGTGTCCATTTTAAGAGACAGACAGATTTTAATGAAGAGCAACCTGAAGATTTTAATGAAGAGCAACCAGACAGATTTTAATGAAGAGCAATAGGTTTCTACCTATTGCCCCATTAAGATATTAAATTGGTCAAATTAAACATGGAAATTCAATGATAGCTCATTTTAGAAGATGTTTACATAGTTTTCGAGATATGTTCCATTAGCCTTTTCAAGTATTTTGAAAACAAACTCTCAGTGATGTGTCATGATAAATTAATTTATCTTTGATGTCTTTATTTACCTATTTTTAGGGCAGTGGTCCATATCCAGGTAAAGGATGTCAATGAGTTTTCACCAGCTTTCAAGGAGAGTGTGTATAAGGCCACTGTGACAGAGGGGAAGATCTATGACAGCATACTGCAGGTAGAAGCCATAGATGAGGACTGTTCTCCACAATATAGCCAGATCTGCAATTATGAAATTGTCACAACTGATGTACCTTTTGCCATTGACAGAAATGGTGAGTATGGAGAAGGAGCAATTGTAAGTGTGGGACGGATAGCAGTCATTTCTGCAGATAGTGTGATTACCTGTTGTTACTACCTGATAACCTGCCTTGAGTTTTAACTCAAGAGAGTAATCCTGTTCTCAGCTCTGTGCATGAAGGAACCTTTACATGGGGAAATCCCATCCCTTTCATACAAGATTTGGTCAGAAAATGCCACAGTAATTTACTGTGGAAATTAAACCCGCAGTTTTAGATGAGTAATATGTTTCCCTGTCACTCAGTCCTTCCTCTTAATTGTCTCAGATCCACTTTTCCATCCAAGTGATGGCATTTCCTAATGGCACCACATGGCCCTACCTCACAGGGGTTGTTCACTGGTTTAGAACTAGTCCCTTTCTTCTGAGCTTTGTGGAGCAGAGTCTAAATGTAGAATTGACAGTATTCTGGATGTGTTTATTGATTGTTGAAACTTTCGGGATGTGGGTCCACAGATCTACCCATTCATGGTGCTTCTTGAAGCAGATCTATTATTCTGCAGTATGGGAGAAAATATGCTTTGGAGAAGTAGTATAATTTTTAATGGTTATTGATTTTAGTTGGTTTTCTACTGTATATAATATTAAAGGAAAAACAATAAACCATAATAAATTTTCCACATGCAGCAGTTTTTGACCTTGGTCGCCCTGTCTGTCAGCTTCCTGCTTTTCCCAGTCAAGTTTCCACCAGAGAAAAGCACAGAACTTGACACTGTTTGGGAGAAGTGGCTGGGCTGTATTAAAAATGTGTTGAAGATCCTCCCTCCCATTCTCTGCTTGCTTCAGATAATACAAAATAGGAGCTCTGGCTTTCAGGTTCTTCAGCAGTCCCATATTGGCATCACTTTGTAGATGAGAGTCCTCATTCTTAATATTCACATGTGCCCAATTGTGCAAGAGTTCAGAATGGAAATTGCTGTGCTCACAGAACTTGTTTCCCCAGAAAAAGCACCCTGTGTGCATGCCCAGCGATGATCTGATTTATCTTTCCTAGCAAAAGCATTTAATCCATGTTGAAGGAGAATACTCTTTTGCAGTTAAATCTGAATTTTGGCCAAATTAGAAATTGAGAGCGTGCATGGAGCTAATGTTTTCTGTTAAGCAATCATTTTCGTGTTGGGATGTGTTAGAAAAACCCTTTCCCTGTTCAAAAGTTATTCATCTTTATTTCTGCACCTCTTGCACAATGCACAGCTGAGCATCAAAAGATAACCTGTTATCATCAGTAAATTGTAAATCACTTTGGGGGAAAAAAAGCCTCCTTGTTTATCATACACTGGGAGGCAAGTACACTATATACAAGGTATGAGATTCCCTGTGTTGTCATAATAGGAAGCTCTCGTGTTTCTGTTTGAAACCACTGTTTTTCCAGAGCTCCACGTGACTTGCTCATATGGGGCTGGTTACTTACACAAGTTGCAGATTGCTTCATAATTTCATACCAAATTTGTGACAGATATAATGGATAGATAATACACTGAGATTAGCACAATACATAGTAGGCATTTCTATCGCTCATGCCTTTTCAGCTCCTTCCACAAAGAGATGCTGGCTTGTGAGTGACCAGGGGTTTTCTACAGTCAGAGACATGATCAAAAGCATGGGAAATGTCAGGAATCCTTGGTTATATCTTTGTTCTCCTGTGCCTGGGAGCTGCTTTTGAACAAAGGCAACGAGAAAATCATTGATTTAAACATGGCTTTAAAACCCGCAGTGAATAATTGGTATACGGTTGTAATACTTGCAAGGTCTTGGTCATGAATTCAATTAATATTTTTTGATCTATTTATTCACTAAAAGGCCAGTGCTGCCGCAATCAACAGTAATTGCAGTCTAATTTGCAATTTTTTTAGATGATGGTAATTGCTTAAACCCAGTGGGATTAGAGACAGAGGTAGAATAAGTGGTTGCACTTTCATTCCGTGACAGAAATATGTCGCTTAGACATTCTCAGCTGTGAAAAGTGTTGGACCACTCTGACATAAACTTTCTTCAGTGCAAATCCTTTGGCATTGTGCCCATTTTTGTTACTTGTGAGATGATTAAAGTAGATGTGTGAGATGCCTGGAACTGTCTGTTAATACTGTGCTAATTAGGATTTTGTTGACAGGATTTTTTTACCCATTGTGAGAGAAAAACTAACATCATGCTATGTTCCTGTGTCTTCTGCAAGTTACGATTTTTTTCTGCTTTTCAGTAAGCTAAGTGTGAAATTTCATTGCCCAGAAAAAGCATTTACCCGGATGCTTAGAATCAAATCTATATATTGCAAAGAGCCCAAAAGTAAGGTGGGTGTGAGGAAAACATGCAATTACCACTCTCAGATGCTGGATTTTTTTCACCATCAACTTGTGAAACTAACCACAAACACAGGTTTTTAGAAAGATGAGTATGGTATTCCATCAGCTGAATTTCTTTTGTCACATCTTTGTCTTTTCAGAAAAAAAAAAACCAACCCAACTTCCTTATTGTATGTAAATCAATCCAGGGAGCATGTTTTTATGTCTTGAAATCTCATATTACACATTGGGAACCCTCCAGACTAGCAGTCCATAGTCTACATCAGCCAATTGTGTGAGGCATAAGAGAAGAGGCACCCAGCACTGGTGCAGGAAGCAGCATTCAATTCTGGTGGATTTCTTGTAGATCTTAAGGCCAGGTTGGATGAGGCTTTAATCAACCTGGTCTAGTGCAAGGTGTCCCTTCGCGCTCTCAATTTCTAATTTGGTCATAAAATACAATCATGTAAAGGCAAAGGCGAATTTATGCTTTTCTATGCTAAGAATTGGAACTACAGGTAGAAGATAGAATGTGTTATAAGAGACTATTGCATGCAGTTTAATCTAGTTATCTTCATAGCAGAGAATCCCAACCATCAAGTCACTTACTGCATCAGTACTGTGTAGGGTTTTTCATTCAGGTAACGGAAAAATTAAGCCACCGTGCATGATTCTGCTGTAAGAACAGCAAAACAACATTTTTATGCATTTGTCGTGGGTCATGGTCATTACGATCAGAGAATTCAGATACAGATACAAAATCTGTCATGGCTCTAACCCCCTCTTATCTCTAAAATGGGGGTAACTATGTCTGTAACGCACCACTGGGAAGCACTTCACAAATACATCTTCAGATTGTTCATTATGAAGATGAGTTACTGACTTTGCTGTCCAGTCAGTACAGCTTATATGAAGTTACATCTTAGAAAATAGCTGTGGACAGGATCTCACAAGGTCATCCTTTACAGCACTGAGATCTGTGTTAGGACCTATGCAAACTTCATATTCTCAGAAAAGTAATAAAACGTTGTAGTTCAGTATTTGCATGTGATTGATATTTATTTACTAAACCATTTCTTTCCATTGTGATTTAAAAGTGCAGCTTTTTGACAAGAAGCAATTCTGATCCTTCAATTGACTTATGGTCAGATACAGCTTCTGGTCATTCTTGGCAGCTGAGAATGTTGACCTCCTATGAGCGGACTGAAGTCAAAGACCTCATCTCTTGTAAGGGTTAGGAGGTTCTGTTTTATACTCCTCATACACACAGAAAGTATGGAATTTAAGAGGGAACTGCCATAGTAAATTAGTCAAATCTTTCCCCATTCTTGTGATTGGTCCAAAATTAGATGAAAAGCATCCATAAAAGAGGGAATTCTGTATCACACTATCCCCACAACAGACTCTGAAGAAACAGAGGTGTAAACGCGTGTGTTTTCAGACAAGAATTTTTATATTCCTGTTGATATTTATCTGTTTGTGTAGTTTTCTGTAGGCTTTGCTTGCTTGTTGTGGTTTTTAATCTGTTATAGCTCTAGTTATTTCCAGGAAATTAAATGGAATTAGTAATTTTTGCCAATTACTAACTCAAAAATAATGTAGTTGATACCATCATTACGTTGCTTTTGTGATGGGAAGAGCTATTTACATGACAGACCTGAACATGCTTGGCAAGGTGAGGTGCTTGAGAGAGAGCCAAAGAAACCAGTGTATTCTGGGAAAATGTGGAAAATGAAGTTGTCGCTACCTTTCAAGATGCAGCTGAATAGTTTTACTTCAGAATAAGTTGAGCAGATGATTTCTAATATAGATGTGCCCATGTTATATCCATAGCATCTTGTATTTGCCTAAGAGCTTCTTTATTTCTGTGCTGGATTGAAAGAAAGTATTTCCCATTCCCCATAACTGTCCCACTGGCAGATGTCCCATGTGCTTCAAAGAGCTTTCTGGTCACAAAGGACTTGATTAACCAGGACACCAGTGTTCTAGTCTGCATATGCTTTGCCAAAAATGAATTTTTTAATGTTATATTAAATCTGCAGGTAACATCAGAAACACTGAGAAACTGAACTATGACAACCAGCACCAGTATGAGATAAAGGTAACAGCTTCTGACTGTGGGCAAAAACATGCAATGGAAGATGTCTTAGTGCGAGTTGACGTGAAACCTGTGTGCAAACCTGGCTGGCAAGGTAAGGTGTAAGAGTTTATATGTTTTGACTTTTTTTTTTTTTTTCCCAAGTCTCTTCTTTGGTGTTTTCCCTCTGCCTCACAGTAAAGAAACAAGGGAATTTATTGAAGTGGTATCTAAAACTGCTGCTGTTTCTTACTTATTCCAAGCATGTTAAAAAAAAGTGGATAACAGTCCCATACTTTACATTTGCCGTGTTTCTTCTCTAGTCAGAACAAAGAGCAGATTAGAAAAAAAGAGAGGAAAAAAATTTCTAATGAGCTATCTTAAACTTCAGTCTGGGTATACTAAAAGGTTAAAAAAATGCTTCTGGTTTGCCTTTCTCCTACTACTCCTTTGAATAAAACTTCTGAAGCTACCATGGCAAGGTACATTTCCCATGTGTGCCAGAGTTGTTCAGATTATCTTGTTCCAGGTACACAATTGGCATTCATGTGTATGCATGCATGAGTCAAAGCATGCTCCACTGGCAGTGGAGTGAAAGGCATTTTTTATCCTGATTACTGTCTTCATTCTGAGGCGTGTCAGTGGGAATTGATTTTCTAAAAAGTTTGCAAGGATCTACAGTTTACTCTGTCTAAACTTGAGAAAAATGCAGCTGGCAGTGTACTAGGAAGTTAGATATGACTCAAATTATAAGGAATTAAGATGAAAATGAGGGCTGGATTAGTGTCAAACCAACTGGATGTAAGCCACATTATGTGGATGTCATACAGGACTAACCTGACTTTCATAATTGTAAGTTTTAAAGAGAATGAGACAGAAAAAAATAGTTTGGCTGTTGTAATTGAAGTCAAATTTGCAGACTGACGTTCAGAAGGAAAAAAAATGTTTTCTTTGTAAAATGAGAAGCCCTGGTTTAGCAGATCTTGTAGTGAAATGTGTGCAATATCATGATTCCATTTTCGCAGTCTTCACCTAGAGCAAACTATGTTTTAAATGTTTAGGGATGTACAGTTTCCCCACCGACCCACATAGAATAGAACGCATAGAATAGTTAGGGTTAGAGAGGACCTTTAGATCATGAAGTTCCAATCCCCCTGCCATGGGCAGGAACACCTTACACTAAATGATGTCACCCAAGGCTCTGTCCAACCTGGCCCTGAACACCACCAGGGATGGAGCATTCACAACTTCCTTGGGCAACCCATTCCAGTGCCTCACCACCCTAACAGGAAAGAATTTCCTCCTTATATCCAGTCTAAACTTCCCCTGTTTAAGCTTTAACCCATTACCCCTTGTGCTGTCACTACAGTCCCTAATGAAGCGTCACTCCCCAGCATCCTTGTAGGCCCCTTTCAGATACTGGAAGGCTGCTATGAGGTCTCCACACAGCCTTCTCTTGTCTGGGCTGAACAGCCCCAACTTTTTCAGCCTGTCTTCATACATGTAAAAAAAAACCCAGTAGAACACCTATGAACCATTTTCAGATTTTCTAATTGGTCTTACTGTTCAGAACCCCATGATTTATTTTATAAAACAAGTATGATCTCTTTACACATTGTCAAAATGTTCTGTTTTAATATTGTGGCGTAATTTCAAATAAATACTCCTGAATTAGCTTGGAATTCTTAGAAAAATGGGCACAGTTGTTGATTTTTTTAAATCCCCATATAATTTCTATTTTGTATTTCATTTATTATTTTTTTGCAAAGAGAACTTACTAATGAAGTCTTTATATTGACCAGTATTATCATACTAATTTTATAGTTCAAACATCAGTTATAGAACAGATAGTCATTGCTGGTCCCATCAGGCAGCAGGTACAGACACCAGGTAGCCAACAGAATAGAAACAACCTCAAATAAGGTTTGTTTTAATCTTTTGATGCTTTGTTCATCTTAGGTATTGTGAAGTGTTTATAAGGTATTTAAGTTTTTAATGAAAAGCTGGAATTCAGCTATTGTTATTTGATGCATGCAAAATTTATTCTCTTCTAGAAGTCAGAGCTGTATGTGGCTGATGGTTTGGTTAACACTAGGTGTTTAACATGGGAGGCTGCCAGCTTATTTTTGAGTGATGGTAAGAAAATAGGGAAAACAGCACATGTATAAAGCAGTGACTTTAAAAAATCCACAGTGCATAAGAAAGTTTAAAGCAGCTTATCTAAAGCATCTCAGATAAGGAAGGATACACTTTGGTAGCTTTCATTATGCTTGAATTTGGCTATAGGGGTATTCCTGTACCATGATCTCTAGAGAATTATTTACTAATTGGGGATAAAAAGAGAAGTGTCATTTTGAGCCTTCAAAGACTTAAAATATGTTTGAGAGTACTAGAGGTCTGATCAGCTATTGACAGTTAAAGGAGAAGTCAAGTTGTTCTCTAAAAGGCAACTGATTTCAGACAGGAGGGAGATACTAAGACATAAACCAAAAAAAAAACAAAAAGCTCTTCAGAACCAATTCAGCAGAGTATCCCAATAAAGTACCAGAGGACTTGATCTTTTCTGGAACAAACAGGGAAACTGAATGTGTTTCCTGGGGAGATACACATGTAGAAAAGACAGCAGTCCAAAAATTAAAACTTAAATTGTCTTCTATGGCCAAAAAGGACTGCCAAATTTCATATGGCCCTTACATAAGCAGCGCTTACTAACCTCCAGTTTAAGAGAAAATTAGGACTCTCATTAGAAAACAGCATCCAGCTTGAAGTGTTTTACCAACCTGAAAAGATTTCCTACAGTCCTATAAGCCCATATGCATACTTTGCCCAATTACCTGAGTTAACAAAATGGAAGTTACTTAAGAATTAACCTATAAAAAAATGTTCCTTAAAACTTAGTTACCTTCCACTTAGTGTTTGCTTGGAAATGGTTTTGAAATAAATGTCTGTTATTTACCTAATAGATTATAAAAATATTTAATAGGATTAGTTAATGTATCAAAGATATTGCATGTTATTTATATTTCAAGGCATGTAGTGCTCACTAACATGACCTAGGGCTTTGCTACCACCAAAAGGCAGATTCTTACCACCTCTTTAATGTTGTCATTCAGAGGCCACATACAGGTCAGATCAGCTTGCTTTTTCCTTCTGAAATTCAATCTTCCTTTTGTTCAGAGAAGGGCAAAACCTTCTCTTTTTAGAAGCCGAGTGTTCTTAGATCACTTCTGAGTCAACACACTTTATAGATACTATTTGCAGTAGATACTGAGTAATTTTAGAATTGCATTCATGTGGTTTTCTAGTAAAATCCAATTACAGAGGAAAACCATACCTATTGGGTTTTGAGCTGTCAGTGCTTTTATCAAGGAGCAATGTGATTACTAAAGCAATTGGTTATTTGGAGGAAGGTGGTCAAGTGCAAAATTCCTAGTCTTCAGGAACCATTTTAAAGGCACAGGTATCTCCTGCAATAAACAAAAATCAATTTCTATTCATACCTAACAGTTTAAAATGCAGTGCTTGTCTGAGCTATAAGATATTTACCCATATTTTTAAAAATTAAATATACTGCAAAGCAGGGAGCCCTTACACCAGTTTAGTCTTGGAGCTGCTGTCTGTGCATTAGCCATACATCCTTAAAACAAGGTAACCATAACGAAATGCTTACATTCAGCTAGTAACTTGAATGAGACTGTTTTAGTAGAATACTCTTTAAATACCCATTTCACACATTTGAAAGTGAGTTGAGCTTCTGAGTACTTGTGATTTTTTGAGTTTAAAGTTTACCTAAGTTTGTACTTGTTTCTGTGCTTGTTTCAGCAGTATTTTAAATTTTGACTACCAGACATACTTAGAGAAAACAGTCGTAGCTGTTTCAGTCTGATTTGTAAGATATGCTCTCCTTTCCTCAGCAAACCCTGAGTATGCATTAGAGCTATATACACCTTTCCAGAATACTTCGGGTGTTTCCACATGTTACTTTTACCATAGCCTCTTACTGGAAACACAGTGCTTTATCTATTCCAAATCTGCTTTTCTTTTGCCTGGCTATATCAGTCTGGTGGCTCATGGACATGCTGTTGCTGGTCTTACTGGAATCAGCTCTTTTTCCATATGTCATTTTCCAGTGATGACTCAGCAGTTTGCCAAAGTTCCTGACCATGAACTGGCACTTTTTGTCATTACTGGGAAGGAGTATTTCTGTAACACCCATTCTCAAGGCCATCTTATTATGTGCTTGGGGTACTCTCACCCTCTTTCTATATTGACTTCCAGTGTAGAATCGCCTTCCAATTTTGTCACCAGCAGAAGTAATTAACACAGTCCTGGTTTTGTGGCAAGACCATTAATGGAACCATCAAGTAACAATCCCAAGGCAGATTTGCAGGGATCTTTACTAGTTATTTCCCCATGTACCATGAACTTTCCAGAGTAACCCACTATTGCCCTTTGTTTAGGCAGACCTGTATATATGTTATAATTTAAATACTACATGAATTTTAGACCTATTTAATTAGATTCTTATTTCCGTATACCTCTGTAGCTATTCAGTCCTTTGTTCACCTTTCTGCATTTACAACTATGAAAAGGTCTTTCCATTTTTCAGTTTTCAGTGCAAGATCTTCTTCATGAGCTTCACTGGGCAATTATAATTTCCTTGAGGTACTTATCTCTGAGTTGTAGCTGTTAGTTGGTGTTTCCAGTCATATTTCTTCTGTTCAAAAGTTAAAGCACCGTGGTATATGCAGTTAGGTTTGAAGTTTTCCGTATGTTTTTTTTTGTTGTTTTCTGCATGTAAAAACTTCTGCATATTCTCACACAATGTGCTTAAAAGTTGCAGACTTTCCACACAAAATTTTATATCCTCAGTCCAGTTGATTTCAGGAACTAGTCCATGCAGCGTTTCACAACCTCTCTTTTGGAATTTGGGAAGCTCTTTGCATATTCCTCAGTAGAGAAATCCCTTGGAGTACCAGGATCCAAATGCTAGTCACAGTCCTTGTTCTTCAGGATAACTAAGCAGCTGCTTCTTCCCATAACGTCTTTCTGTGGTAGCTTGTCCTTCTGAAGGCATTAGAAGTCTCTAACCACATCTAAACCTGGTTTCAGGGAGCAGCAAGAGCAGGACTACTCTGTAAAGGAAGGGAAGCCAGCAGTCAGTTGTAGTAACAGAGCTGACAGAGCCTTCATCAGCAAGGTTAAACCCCTCACTCAACTGAGGTCAGCAGGGCAGACCCAGAGATGGGGGCCAGGTTAAACCAAGAGCCCAGATCCTCAGGCATGTTCCTGGGGAGGAGGCAGGTCTCTGGAAGTCAGTCAGGGATAAGAGTTAGGATCAAATCACTGAGCAGGTCCATAGTGATGAGGCTGGGCTGTCAAGCCAGAGAACTTCTCCATGGGTTCACTTTTTGATAAAAGGACCCTATGGCCAGTGCTGTGACTGAGCAAGACTAGCACCCCTACAGTGTTATAGGTCAGGCCATGACTGAAGTCCTGGGCCTGAGCTTGAAGAGAGCTCCAGGATGCCCCAGATGAAGCTTATGGAGGCTCACTAGGACTTCTGCTGGTCCACTTGGGGCTCTGACACCCAGCTTGCTGCAGGAAATACCTATTATTCTTCAGAACTATTAGTAAAATACCTGTTATTATTCAAATGCAGTCTCATAACAAATAATAGCTTAACCGATGCTGCTGTTGCCTATTTTTTAGATCCTTATATGTTTATCTTGCATAATTCAGCACCATTAGGCCTTGGGGTTTTGTCATTTGACGGAATATTCATTGTCACCAATTCATGCACAACTCCTCTTACGTTCTGGTTCACTTAACTCCTGCAGCAGCAGACTTTACCATTACTATCATGCAGTAGCCCAAATTTCTGTCTCTTTTTGTTGTTTATTAAACTCAGCATGCGATGAAAGGAATGGTGTTTATGGATGTTTCCTTATGCTTGTGAGATCTGCATTCAAATCTCTCCACAAACCATGGTGCCTTATCAGGGCTTGGGAAGTTTGTTTGAGTCTTGTCTTTGCTATGGAGAAGCTTTAACTGGGTTGGACTTCCTGATTATCATTTGCTTAACAAAACATCATATTTAACATGCCTAAATATATTTGTGGCATCAGATTTAGGAGTCCTGTAATTTGTATGTTACACACTTGTAGATTAGCTGTCAAACCTAGAAATGTTTGTGGTTTGATTTTTTAATGTTGCTATGGGACTATTGGTGCTGATGCAAAACTGTCTTTTCTCCCTTAAAAAGAAATGAACTTGAAAGATAATTTTAAAGATTATTTTTCAGTGTTGGTTAAGAACATTCATATTTAATGTGTACATATATATGTGCACATATATATGTGTGTGCATATGTATATTATATGCTTGCGTATGTTGATTTAAAAATAGGAGGAAATAGAATTCAATAAAAGATGTCCTAAATTGTATTTATGCGTGTTATTTCTGGCATTTTTGTCTGTTACTAAACACACACAAGAAGCATGATACTAGCTGCTACTTAAATCTTTGCTTAATTTCCTCCCTAGCACAGTACGTGTTGGCTGGCACTGGTAGGAGCTGTGGCAACCATTGCAAAGCTGCATACCTGGCTCCCAAGGGAAAAAACATTTTCTTTCTGTCAGTGGTGACCGCTTGACCCTTCAAAAGTTAGCAAATTGTTTATAGAAAATAATATTCTGGGCAGCACACAGTGACATTGATGGATTCTGGAAGTAGCATTCTGCTGATGCTTGCTAGCTCATTTGTGGAGTTAACTAGGGGACACCCTACCAAACACACTGCTTTGTAAAATGGCCAATTTCACGAATGGGAAACTGCCTAGATAACCTGAACAGACCTGCTTGTTCTAAGTAGTTCAGGATCTTCACAGAACCACAGGTGTTTAAGAAAGGGCCAGGCATATGTGCAATACTAGTCTGTCTTCTAACTTTCCTTTTCAAGGCATAGCAGATGATCCATTTTAACATTAACAATATAATTTAATAATGTTAACTCAGTTTTGTTTAGCCACAATCTCCCTCAAGAAGGAGTATTCAGAATTCTTTGCAAGGTCTGTGGCAAGGCTGAGATTTCCTTTCTTACAAGTGAAAAATGGCCCTTTTCAGAAGTTTTGATGAGGGTTAACCAGGAACCGGGGGAGCAGAGCACATGAGGTGATTGTACTGTGTGCCTTGGGGACTTGGGTTTTTTCCCAAATGGAAATGGAAATATTTTAAGTGAGTTTGGATTGGTTTGGGTTTTACATCAGCATAATTTGAGTCCAGAAATAGAGAGAGAATGCTGCCCAAGAAAAAATGTTACAGAGCTGTTACCCTGTGCCTGTTTCACTAAGAAGTCCTTAATCTTTTGTTCAAAGTAGAAATTCAAATAGCAAAGAACCAAAGCATGTACTTTTTGGAAATGTCTTATGGCCATTGATGTTTCACATGTGGAGAATGCCTTTTGTACAGCAGGTATTTATTGAGGTAGCTGCAACATCTGATAGTCAGGCAATGTGTGCACTTTTCAGTAGATTCATGGTGTTGAAAGAAAACTAGTTTTGTGAAGACAGTGCACTGCTCCCCCAAATATCAGTGTACAGCATCTAGAACTGTGAGGCTGCTGTTTTGAAGATACAGGGAGTTTTAGAAATCATGATAAGAAGTGTCTCTTTTGGCAGAACTACAGAGACATTTATGATCTTGTTTGAAATGCCTTGTGTATAGTGGTATTTTTATTCTAGATTGTTTCAATTTTCAAAGTCGTAGAAAAGTGTTCAATGAAAAAATACTTCAGCAAAGCTGTCAAGTGTGTAAAGTAAAAAAAAAAAGGGGGCAGAATAACCTTTAGCCAAGTATCCAGCTGGCGCAGATAGGACAACGGGAAATGACTTTAAATTGACAGATGGGAGGTTTAGATTAGACATTAGGAAGAAGTTCTTCCCTGTGAGGGTGGTGAGGCACTGACAAAGCTTGCCCAGAGAAGTGGTAAATGCCCCATCCCTGGCAGTGTTCAAGGCCAGGTTGGACAGGGCTTGGAGCAACCTGCTCTAGTGGAAGGTGTCCCTGCCCATGGCAGGGGTTGGAACTGGATGAGCTTTAAGGTCCCTTCCGAACCAATTCTATAATTTATGAATCTTAATATATTGATTCTTTGAAAATATGAACTGTAAAGATAGCTGAAATGCATGTTTTTAAGTAATGCTGCTTGTTTTGCTTTTTTCTGAAGCAGGTTTCAAACACCATAATTAATTGGATTTAAAATTGAAATGCTTCAGTTGAGAAGCATAGTGGTATATATGGCTTGTCCAGGTGGCTGCCTGAGGCAGGTGATTATTGAAGTGTTGTGGGCTGTGAGACATCTGCATAAGCAAAACCACAGAAGAGTCAGTTCTGGCTGAAAGTGTGAGTAGTGCTTTCAGCTGTAACTTTCTGTCATTAATACTTCACAATGGTAGTAAGACATTTGAGGACAAATGGCACTGCAGATGTGTTTTGGTCATGGTCCAGTGAGACTGATGTATATAGCCTGGTCTTCGGAGATATTCATTCTGTGTCACAAAACTATGAAATCTGACCAAATTCAGTGCAGCAGCGAGCCTCCTCCCTTGTAGTCTGTCACAGGACGTGGACACTGGAGATCCAGACTATTGCCAATTAGCACTTCTTGTCAGGGTATGCATGTACTCCATGCCTGTGTGACCCTAGCAGCAGTACTATTACTTTTAATTGAGCCCGACACCCTTCTACAAAGAATGGCAAAATCCAGGTTTTTTTAGGACAGTAATTTACTGATGCCGGGTTCAAAACTTTTGACTTAAGACAGTGACCTTTAAGAACAATCTGTCATTTAAAGCTGTGTAACTCCCTTCCCTTTTTTAATCACTCTTGGATCTGTTTGTGTTTTTTTTTCCAGACTGGAACAAACGGATTGAATACAAGCCAGGTTCTGGCAGCAAACCTTTGTTTCCCAGCATTCATCTAGAAACCTGTGATGGACCAGTGTCCTCAATACACACCACCATTGAATTACACACTAACTACATTGGAAAGGGCTGTGATCGTGAAACATACTCAGAAAAATCTCTGCAGAAACTGTGTGGTATGGACATGGCTTTCAGTTGATATAATGTTGTGTCAGATACATAGATATGTCATAAACTGCTTCCTTGTGACCAGTAAGCATGCAATATGTGGATTTAGCGCAGCTGCTCGTTTTGGATTGTGGCAATGAAAATGAAGGGAGGGGTGAAATTACAACTGGTGCTCCATTTTTTTCTATTTTTTTCACTGTTTTTCATGCCTTTTCCATCTTTGCTTCAGTTGTTTTCCTCTCCTGTTCCTCTTCCCTTCTCTTCCCCCATTTTTCTCTTTCCTCATTTCACCTTTTTGTTACCTTTTTTCCCCTTTGCCTATAATAATGATGCGATGTGTAGAGAGATTTTAGGTATAGATTTGCCATCATAGAAAGACCATAGGGTATAATGAGAATTTAATCTCATGTTTCAGTCTTCCTGACTCAGCTTTCTCTTCTGCTGCTGAGTACTTTGTCAGAGTCAAAGCAAACAGGTAAACATCTGGGGCTGTCATTTAGGCAAAAAAACTTAAGAAATGTGAATCTGAGAAAAGAGAGATCCCAGTGGAGAAAGGTTTCCTTATTATTTTCTACCCTTTCCCTGCTTTTTGATAATTTAGTCTAAAAGATACAGATAGTTTTTGAAAGGTAGATGAAGTACTTGAGGATGCTGATATGATCTTGTGACTTTAAGATCATATATACAGCAGAGCAGTGGCCACATGTTAAGCCATTCATCTTGTGCCTTTTGAGATATGCTGTCTCTCCTCTTGTAAAATCTTGTCATCTTAAAGTCCACATCTGAAGCCCTGATGGTTTGGAACATTGATTTTCATCTCCTCCAAAATGTCTCTTTGCCTAGATCCTGTCTGAGCTACAGTAGCAAATGTTCAATTCTTCTTTTCTCTTTAAATGCATGGATTTTTGTTTGGGGTACTCAGGTGTATGGCTCGCATTTGCTTTGATAACCACACAACCATGTTGTAGATTTGTTAGGATCAATGCACCAATCTCTAAGAGAGTATTTTGTAAATTAACATTTCTAGCCAGCGTTACTAAATAGTTAAAAATGGAGAGCCAATTCCCAGGGAAAAATAGTGTGCAGTTGTTATTGCCAATTACCTGTGGAGATTGGGAAAGTGAGGTAATGGTGAGTGACAGGAGTAGCCGCCTAATAGAATTGGAATATTTTCAACTTTAAAATTGTTTAGTTAAGATTACAGAGACAAGTGTCATTTTAATCCTTGTATCTTTAGCCAGCTGACTGAGATCCTAGAAGGAGGAGGAGAATGCCCATCTGCCAACAGTATTCATCTTTATCATGTCAAGGCTGGGGCTTGATTTCATAAAATACTAGCATTTTAATAAAAATAAGTATGCTACAGCTGAAGTCAAGTATTTTGCCTCCTGTAAGAACCTGTATTGGCAGCAAAAAGAATGTTGCTTTGTGCCTGATACAGACTTGAACTGCAAATGGCACAATCATTTAGAGCAGATCACTATGTACAAGATCAAAACTACGAAACGATTACATTGACATAAAACTCTAATAAGAACCATATCTGACGATATTATCATTTGAAGTGTAGGGATGAAAGTAGGTACCTTCTACTGGTATAAAATTCCATCGTTGAGGAAGATTGTGCAAAGTCTGAGGGGTTCACTTTGTAGAGTGTGGCTTGATTACTTTACCTGCTGACACTTGAGCAATAAAAGAGGCTATTTCAAGTCTTTCTCTTTTTCTCCTGAATAAACTAGATTTTTCCCAGTACTAGCCCAGTCTTAATTCATTGTCTGCACTTTGTTTAGGCCTAAGGTGGTGAAAAAGCAGAACTATCAAAAACATTTCAGGAGGTCTGTCAGTGCCATTGTGGAAGTTGCAGGTAGCCTTTAAGCAGATGGACAGATGTACTGTCTAACGTTACTGCTGAGCTTCCAGTTTTCACTCAGCACATCTGTGAAGGAACAGGATGTAAAGCACCTGAGAGAACATATAGGATGTAAAAAGAATATTTAAATGGGGGGGGGGGAATTCTCACTGCTGAAAGATATTGTTTTGTACGTGGTTTTCATATCTTCATACAGAAAAGCAGGTAGGATAGAAGCTCGTAGTAGGAATTTGATAAACAAGTTGTAAATGACAGTGAACTTTACATCAAACTTGCATTTGGACTGGCTTACACTTGGTGCTTAGTATTTATTGTCATCCTTAATGTAGAGAGAACTCTTAGGAAAACAGGTTATTTCTGGAAATCAGTTTTCTCCCAGAAATTACCTTATTGTATCTAATGGTTGAATGAAAAAAAAAAACTTTGAAAAGGAAGAAAAAACTGGGTCACTTTGTTTCTCTACCAGTAAAGCTGCAATTGCAGAGAGAATAGAATTAAGGGATTACAGATGAGTATTCATCTTTGCCATATAAAATGCAAGATGGTCCCTCTGTAAATAAGGACCCAGTTTATAAATCCTGTGCTCATTTCTTCATTTATCTGTTGGAGAGGTAGACAATTCAGCTGCCAATGACAGTGCATTAAAATTAATTTTTACAGGCTGATAGCAAACGAGAAACTGAAATACGGAAACACTGAGTATCAGATTAAAGGCCATGCTACAGCTATGAGGGTAGTTCCTGGCCTCTCTCCTTTACGCATGTTTGTGTAGCTTTGTAGGACACTCAGAGAAAGTTCTTCATCTGACTGAAAAGTACTAATTTGGGCTTAGCTTTATTTGGATGGTTAACTTAGAGCTGAGCCAACAGTCTTGTCCAGTTCAGCAAGCAGCATCAGTATGTGCTTATCCTGGCACAAAGTTCACAGCACAAACATGAAGGGTGGAGAGAAGAGTTTGGGATGCTGATTAAATTTATTAGGATTGAAACTATCATTTCTACCAGCTAAATCTCTCAAGCACATAATCCAGTGGTTGTTCTCAGGGCAGGGTAAACGCAAGTTCCAAAGTAACCCATAAATCTCAAAAAAGTATGGGCAGACAAATTATAACGTGTTGAGCTTGGTACTCATTAGCCAAATGCTTTTACACAAGTCTGACCTTAAGTTGGGAACATAAGGTAGTTGAGCATCTTGTTGAATCAGTTTAGCAAGCAATATGAGACTTCCATTTTGGAGTTTTCCCACGGACTTATTCTAGTGGGAAAATAGATCTTTCCAAATTTTTATGCCCAGAGTACATAGAATGAGGGAGGGATGAAGCTTCTTCATTGAGCCCATAGTTTACCTAATATAAGCATGTGCCCATTTAAAAGCATATTTCCTTTGATATACACCATGGTGCAAGCAGTTTCTGTTCCTTGTAAGTTTAAAAAATGGCCATTAAAATCAACACAAAATAAAGTAATTTTATTTTTTAGTGGGTTGAATTAAAAACAAAAAGAAGGAAGTTTATCCCAAATGGTGCCATCTGGATAAACTGAGTTTGATGTATTCCTGTTCATAACATCTGTGTGTTAAGCAATGCAGCGTGATGTATTATCCAGAATGGCAATTTATGTAATAAATATACTTTGTGCTCAAATTCTAAACTTACAGGTGTTAGGCTTGCTATTACTATCCCTTCAAAATAACCTCATTGTACAGTAATAAATTTTGGAGAATTGTTTTAAGAAATTAAGTTAATGATAGGAATGTTTTCTTATCATTACTATAATACTTTTTAAAAAATCCATAGAATACAATTCCACACATTCTGGGCTTAAAATGCTGGACTCCTTCAGAGCATTGGGATCCTGTTTCTCTTCTTGCTGAAGGAGGGCGAGATACCTTACTGGTTGTGGTTTGTTCTCTATATTTTCAATTTGCAAAGCATCAACAAGAATACAAGGGGGGTTTGGTGCTTTGAGAAGCATACTTTCTGCTAAATGCTATCTGTCACCAGCTAAGTAATGGCACTGGGTAGCTCATCAAGTTTTTTTTTAAGTGTCTGACAGTTGTTAAGCTGTCAGAAAACCCAAAGCTGTAAAGAACTGCACTGTTCTATCAGAGCTTGGCACCGCAGTGTTTCCATTTCTGGGTGTTGCTTTTTTTCCCCTCAATTAACTCTAACAAAAAATATCATGCAGCTGGAGACCACGTTGTTAATGGTTTACTTTTGGGATGCAGGGGGGCTAATCTGAATTTTGAGTACCACTTGAAGTTACACATGAAGTTACAACCCTCATGTATTTGCCAGAAGCCAGCGTTAAAGTGGTATTCGGTTTAGGGTCAATACTCTGTATGCATTGACATGCATACCACCATTGTTGTGAATATCCACAGCTGTCTACTGGACATTAGGTGACTTGTCCTGCATTTATCCCCACTGTACTGTATTTTGCAACAGTTATCCCCACAGACCATGTATCTCCATCCTGTCAGGGAGGGAAGATGTAAAACTTCCCAGCTGGATGTAGAGAATTTGGGTTTAGTCTTAGCAATTCTTGAAATAACTGAAGAAATGTCCTTAATGAATTTTAGAAAATAATGAGAACTTTCAAGAAAGGACATGTTAAAATATCTTGGATAGTTTTTTGTGCAGTACGTTTATTCTAAAGAACTTTTTACTGGCTTATTGTAGTCAGTATTCTACAATGTGTGAGGGATATAACAGTGAAGCTAGTAGGACCATTGGAGTAGTAAAAATAACCTGAAGAGTGTGAATCAGAACCCTAGCCAATATTAAATTAATCTTCACTGCTTTTTTATTAGTCTCTCATCGTGTTATTCAATATAAATCATTTGCAGGAGCTTCCTCAGGTGCCATTGACTTGTTACCATCTCCCAGTGCAACAACTAACTGGACAGCTGGGCTTCTCATGGATAATAATGACATGATTTTTAAATTTGATGGAAAGCAAGGAGCCAAAATCCCAGATGGAATAGTACCGAAGAATTTAACTGATCAGTTCACCATCACTCTGTGGATGAAACATGGACCTAGTCCAGGATTAAGAGCTGAGAAAGAGACTATTCTCTGCAACTCTGACAAGACAGGTCAGTCTGTGTATTTAAAAATTGTTAGGCAAAGGCCATACTGAAGTTTGTGGAGTGTTACCGTTGCTCATTTAATCTGGTCTGAAAAAAAGTTACTGAAATCAGTTGGTGCCACTCCAAGCTTTGCCGACTTGATAGCTTATTGAGGGGACTGATATCTACCCAGGTTTCAAGCTCTGGTTCTCTTCTTGGGTAATCTCTATGAACGCATTTGTAGATTTGATAGGAACAGTGGATAACATAATTATGTTTAATTTTTCTTTATTATTTAGATTGAGAAAACCAGTTCTAATTCTGCATTGAAATTTGTTAGATTAAATATTGATTTGAATTTTGTTAGTTTTAATGCAGTAATAAGCAAAACTAATACAGTGTAATCGAGGAAGATGCTTACAATGTGTGGCTTCCCTGCGAATGATCCATGATATTGACAAAAGTCAATTCTTTGTTTTTTTTTTATTTGGTTGGGTTTCTCTCTCAGGTATGTATTGTTTTCAGACACATACACCTAAACAGAAGTGTTTGTGGTAATTCAGATGACCAACTTATCACCATCTTACGTTTCAGAGATGAACCGGCATCACTATGCCCTGTATGTGCACAACTGCCGATTGGTGTTCCTATTGCGCAAAGACTTTGATCAGGCTGACACCTTCCGTCCCGCGGAGTTCCACTGGAAACTGGATCAGGTACCTATGGTTTTCTCTTTTCTTTATCCATCCTTCTCTTCACCCCCTTTAGAAATGACAGAGAACAACACAAATGCTTGCATAACTGCTTGGGGAAATCGGAAGTCTATTGCAATTACGTGGCAACTTGTAAGTGTTGTGACTCTAATTGGGATCCACATAAAAAGAGATAAAGGATAAGACTTAGTTGAGTTATTTTATACAGTAGCTTTTTTAATGGAGTCATTTCAAAAAGTAAGTAGAAGTTTATATCCTTTGGCAATAGAGACACAACATTGCATATAGTTCCCTAAAAGTTCTCCATCTATCACTAAAAAAAATCTACTTTATCAGCACAGTGGAAGACATGGAAACCTTTTCAACAAAGAGTATGCTGACACACACAAAGGCATTTGTAATATATTGTAAATCTAATCTGCAGACTTTTACATGTGCTGTGCTGTATGTAATTTCTTCTTATTATGAAGTGTATATTTCAAGGAAATTATTATTAAAGAGATAAGAGTTGCCTTTCATAGATTTATTAATTCTAAGCAGGGTAAGGATCATTTGGATGAAAGAAGAGAAACATCAGCAAAGTAGTATTTTCTCAAAGCAAGTTGCTTCATATCTTTGAGTTTACACTATAGTATTAAAGACGTAGCTATAGGAATGGTTACTTTCCTAATTCACCTTCAAAATGGATATAAAAAGATAATCTTTGTCATGATTATCAAATGAATGTGGTAAGAAATTATGTGATGATCATAGCACTTGCTTTTAATTTCCATTAACCAGTTTGGAATCAGTTTCTGCTGTACTTGATCTGAAATCTTGCAGTGTCTGGAAAGTGGTAAATTTACATTAAAGACTATTGAAGATTCTGTCACCTCGGTTAATGGTGTTCTGAGTGCTGAAGATGGGTTTGTATTTCTAACCTCTATAATAAGCATCCAAATTAATGCTAATACAAATTTTATGTAAACTCTTTTGAATGCAGTCAACTTCTATATCCTTGCATGAGAAAAGACCAGTGTCCTCTCCATAAATTAAATTTGTGTGTAACTCCTGTAACTTAGCCCTGACAAAATACTGGAAAATACACAGTCAAAGATAATTTTCCATTGACAGGGGATGTATTTGATGGTGTGAAAGAACTTTTTCATCTCTGCTGCCATCTACAATTACTTTATTTTCATTTTCATACTTTTTAAAAAATTAAAAAGAAAAAATATTTTTTCTTCCTTATTTTAAAAAAAGAAGACATCCTGAACTAGCCTTTTTTCATACCAAGCATACTGTGTGTGTTATTAGCCTTGCACTAGCATTTGATTCACATCCATGTTACTGGTCAGCAACATATACTCTTTCTATTTCTGCTTTGACAGTCTTATTTCCTTGCAGAAGTGCTGCTCATCTCAGAAATCTACTTCTCAGTGGTCTGTCGATTTGGGAAATGCATTGTGCGTGAAGGTTTATTGTTTCAAAACAACATCCTAATTGTGTGTATCTAACTAGTTAAGTACAAGCGGCGTTCGTTCTCTGACAAGGGATAAAGAATACCTTGAACAAGTCTACAGATTCTGTCTGAAATTAAAAAAACCTAGGGGAGTTTCACAGCGGGCAACTTCCCACATCCTCAGCTGATATTTAAGCAAAGTCCCAGATACCTGGTAACAGGAAATCACTCATTCTTCGTGATATAAATCCTAGAGAAAGAAAAGATTTCAGCTAGGGATGACTGAATAAGTCCTTGGAGGTCTTTTAAGATTCAGTCGATTGTACTCTGTACTATGTTTCTGGAGAGAAGTTATTTTGTCAAAGCCATCTCAACAACAGCATATACTAAATGTAGTCCAAAGTAGTACTTGACAAATTAACTGGTTTTGATTGTGTTGTTTGGGTCTAAACTGTGTATTTTATTGTCTGCAGTTAATCATTTGTATAACCTAAAATATGCTCCCAAATTATAGCACTTCAGCAAAGCTGATCTGCAGCTGGGCACTGAAAAGAGAACCTTCCTCACTACATGATGGAAACTAGAGATAGGAAAGATTGTTCAGGTCATATCATTAATTTCCCTTCATTCAGATACTGTTAGTTGATTTTCACAGCATGTTTTCAACTGCTCTTGCTAGATGATAAAGAATGTAAGACTAAAGTATAATAAGTTTTGTTGTGTGTTGTGTGACCAGACTTCCATGATGATTAATTCTCATAGTGATGCTGTTATAAGTTTTGTCATGAAGGCACCTGGTGAAAATTACTTCCTTACCTTTTCTCAGGTGCTCCATCTGGCCTATATGGTAGAGTAAGTTAAAAGACAGTGAAAACTAAACATACGTGAATAATGGGCTAATAAAACTACAAATTCCTCTGGATCTCAGTATGAAAAGAAGCTAGAGCTAGATTTTCACCACCAGATGAAGTGCTGTAGATGTATGACTGGTTTTATGAGAATGATCAGAACTTACATCCTCCTCTTGCACCCAGGAAATAATGATTGTGGGGTGGGGTCTGGTAGGGGCCTGAGCTTTCTGAGCTCCATAGAGTGCAAAAGTACCTTGGATACTAGGGAGTTGGTAACCTTCTTAATACACATTTGTGATCCCGTTTTCCTTCAGCCTTCTCAAAGTCCTTGATGCGTGCAACTGGAGGTCAGTTTATCATGAGATTATGTATATTAGAAATGGAGTTCTGTTGATATGAGTGGGAAAATGTTCATTAATTTTACCAAGGGCAGAACTTCACCCTAGAGATATAAAATAGGTGTTGTCGTGCAGGAAAAGCCTCTGGATGCTCATTTCTGCTGGAAGTTATTGTGTATTCCCCATTTCTGGCTAATATAGTAAGAACTCAGTCCTCAATTTGTGTAACTGTTGTTTTCCATAGCCCGCACGGAACCAAATCAGAATAATAGTTTGAATAGGAATCAGTGTAGTCAAGCCTTTGGTGACAGTGGAAAACATAACATTTAATAGGACGATGCACAGTGTATTTCACACTCATGGATATTACATTTCTCATACTAATACTAGGAATAGTCAAGCTAAGAGGTATTTTTCTTTCCCCTAAATCAGCAGAATAGAAACACTTTTTTTAAGTGGGAGAATGGATCTTAGCCAGGGATGAGCATTTTTTTTTTAACATACTTGTTTTTATTCACATTGGGAGATTATTTTCTGTTTTATACCCATGTCATCATCTGAAAGTAGTCTTCCAGTCCAGAGGCAAAATTCATACCGATCCCATTAAAAAACAGGGAATACACTTGAATGATCTGGAGTCATTCTAAGTCAGCAAAAAAACAGATAAGCATGCAGAAAGTTATTTTTTCTTTTCTGAGATGAATTGCTTTGAATAATCCAAAACAAGCCTGCAGTGTTTTTTTGTTGTGGAAAAGCCCCAAACAATTACTTCCATAATAGGAACTAGAGAAAGAGGTTTAGGTAAATCTGAATATGATGCATCCTGTCTCAGAGTGTGCACATGGATGCTGAAGGATCAAGGCAAGGCCCCCCATTTTCATTTAACCACTTGACTGACCACACCCAATAGGGTTTTGTGCCTGCAGAAAGCAGTCTTGTCCAGTCAATCGCTTCATTCCCATTTACTGTTTAAAATAAGCTACTGATCAAGATAGAACAGAAACTGACTTTTAGAGAAATGTATATTACATAGTAAGGGGGCAGAATGAAAGGGATTAGGTATCTGGAGCTTTTCTTAGTTAAATTAGCTTTTTCCATTAAATTACAGTGTCTATCAATGAAAGCTGCTCTTATGTGCTGGGTTTTTAGACATTGGTTGGTTGTGTGAACCTAGTTTTTGAGAAGACAAATACATTATGAAAGCCTCAGGTGGCCTCCTTCTTGAGAGGCTCAGAGGGGAAGAAAATGAGTGAATATTTGTGGAAAGTACATAGTATTCTCAGGGTTAAGGGTTCATGGAGGAGATAGGGTGGTGCAAGCTTCCATCATCTCTGTTCACTGAATCACATCTGGATAAAGACCTCAGGCTTGGCAGTCACATAGTTTCCAACATGATGCCCTATTGAAAGGTAATCTTTTTTTATGATGGAGTTCAGTTGTTCATTTTTACTCAAAGCTCAAAAATAGTTTCTTAACGCTCTTCACTTATTTTACAAATTGATATGCAGACCTGCACTGCTTTATGCATTCATTTTTAATAGAATCACAGAAAGCAGTAAGTTAGGTGTTTTCCTACAGAGCCAGGAAGAGATTAATGATAAATGAATCATGCTAATGCTGCAACAGAGATGAAATAAGTCCAGGATTTAAAAAGTTTGTGCAGCATCCACAGCATCCCACGTCTTACATTATAGGCCTGTCTGTTCTGACACAGTTTATTTACCAGTTTCCATCTTTAAATGCTATTTTGACAAATTTTTATTCAACATCTTGCTTCGAAACAACTTTTGTGAGCGCAAGGATGAGTCAGCAGTGCTGATAAATTCTTAGATTCCACTGAAAGAAGCTTATTTAACATATAGGTTTTATATATTAAACATTTTATATATTAAACATAAAAATATATTTATATATATATTTTAATACAACTGCAGATTACCACTAATTACAAAATCTTGACAGACAAATCAACAGTGGCTGACAAGAACTTGCTTTACGATACAGAAGATTCCTTTGGGCCAGCTCTGAAGTATTCCCTACAAATAGGCCTGGGTTTGTGCATTTCTGGTTTCTGCAGTCAGCCTGGTGTGCAATGCAGTGACTGGTCTGTGCTTCTGTAGAACTTCTGTGACCATAAAGTAATGAGAAGTATTATGCTCTTAAAGCATACTGTGGGAAGACCCCCAAATCAATTCAATTTCATACATAAAGACTGTCTTGATATGGAGTTATTAATACACATAAACAAGCTGGAGTAAAGTGTCTGCTGGCTTGCTTTGTTTCTACGGTGCTCTTGGAAATCTAGAAATACAAAGCCTGGAACAGAAATTCCCAATCAGACTACACACACAAATGTGTATTGTCACATTTATC